GAACTTCTCAATGGAAGCAGCAGCCTTGTCTCTGAGAAGGTACAAAAAAAAAGTAGTTCTTTGTTTCAATTTGTTTGTCTGGTTTTGATTTGGCACGGATTTAAAAAAAAGTAAAATAGACTTTTGAATCTTGTGGTCTTAAACTAATGATATGTAGAATGTACCAAAATGTCCTTCAATCTTGTGGTCTTGAACAATGCCATGTGAAATTTAGAATTAAAAAGTTGCCAATAAAGGCAAGAGCCAAGAGCCAAGAGCCAAGAGTCCATTCTTTTTAAAACGGACTAAAAAGGGAAGTAAGACGAACAAATTGAAATGGAGGGGTAGTAATTTTTCCTCTTTATCCCTGCGTGTTGACGCATACGTTGCTGGTTGTGTTTGTAGGTTGACGTATTCTCCTTTGGAATTGTACTGTGGGAACTTCTTACTGGAGAAGAACCATATGCTGAATTGCACTACGGGGCAATAATTGGTAACGACTTCCAAATATTCTTTTTCAACTTTAACCAAATATTGTCCAAATGCCTTCTAAGTCAACAAACCGTTTCGAGTATTAACAACTGAATCCCTATGCAGGTGGTATCGTGAGTAATACCTTGCGTCCTCCAGTGCCCGAGTCCTGTGACCCAGATTGGAGGTCACTCATGGAGAGATGTTGGTCAGCTGAACCGTCCGAGAGGCCTAACTTCACGGAGATCGCCAACGAGCTACGAGTGATGCAGTCTAAGATCCCTCCCAAAGGACAAAACCAACAATCATCTCCCTCAGCAAACACCAACCAAGCTAAAACTTAATTTTCTGCACTGCTCTTTGTAGTTACTTTTTTCTTACCTTGATAAACTTAGGTATATAAATTAGCTCAAAGTAACACATATATAGTGGTCTCTTGTCTTTGTTTTCTGGTTTTTTAGGTCTCCATTACATTTTATTATTGACTTAATTAGGTGTTCTTATACTAACCAAATTTACATCAAAATCAAAGTCAAAGTAACACAACATTTTCTTCTCTTTCAGTTTGTTATGTAGGCGATTAATCAACTTGGTTGGGACTGAGGCGTTGATTAATCGATTATCACATGTGTTCGAAAGCATATCATGTTTTGCAAGTGGGCAATGTGAATATTGTTCTTTGCCTCCCCTATTCAACCACTTCCTTTTATTATGGCGTGATTAATGCGTCTTAAACCTTTCTCTTTGAAAAAAAAATGCATTTTTAGTGAAATTTTTACACGTTAATCAATAGAAATATGGCCATTTTCTTTGACAAAAAAACTTCTAAATTATCATCACATCAATAGGTGCATAAAGTAAATATTGGTATTGACTTATTAAAAATATATATCTTTTGAGATTTTGATTAGACAATTCTTTTAATCTTCATATATTAATATTGATTTTACTCGTTGTGTTGGCTTGCAAAAGTGATTTGTGGATGGGACCCTTGCACCTAACTACAATTATAGTTTCATTATGTAAATCATGAATTAATTTTAACTAATATTAATTATTGTTAATGCGTGATTAAAGATTGCTGGTGCTTGATTAATTAATATAATTGATTCTCTGTACTATCCAAAAAGAAAAAACAAGAAGCATATCCAATCTGGGGCAGGACCTCCATCGAAAAATTACAATGTTATACATGGTGATTTTTTTAAATTATTTTTTTTGTGTATAGATAACAAATGTTGGTCTCATTTGACTCATCGTATTTTAAAATCTATTAGTGAAAATTTTGATTTCGTCACTGTATAATGAATATAATTCATATAATTAATTATTGTCTTGTTCCTTTTTACTTGGAAAATATCCCTACACCCTGTCCCCAACACCTAACGGATCTCTTATCTTTTAGGACTAGTATATTAACTTAATTATTCTTTAATGAACTTAGTTTGATTTGATTATTATACTAGACTTATTTATATAGTAGATAGTCTCTTTTTCCTTTTGATGAATTTTTATTTTTAATATATATTGAGAGCTTATAAGACTAATAAATCCGATCTCTCTCATCTTTTAAGGAATTTAATCGACTTTATTCAACGTGAATTTGATTTAATCGAAGCTGACGTAAGAAAGTAGGTTATAGATATAAATAATAAGTAATGTTTGGTATCCAAAAAAGAAAAAGTCATATCCAAAATGATGACTATAGTCTATACATATCCTTCAACGCGTTGTGAACACTTAGTTGTATTTCCCCTTTTATTCTTAGCTTTCAAGACTTTCCTACATGTGTGTAACATTTATTTTTCTTGAATAGTTTTATAATTATGATTATAATAGTAGATTTATTTTTAGTTAAGTCTTATTTTTTCTTTTGATGCATTTTTTATTTTTTATTTCATGAATTGACTTTGAAGGATTGATGTTTTATCAAAGTCTTTTAAATACTCCTTTATTCTTTTTTACTTATCTAATCATAGGTACAATGATCTAACTCACAAGGTTTTGGTTCAAGTATAGGATAACTGTAATAAATAATATGATAATCAAAACAAAAAACAACACATAATAATAAAATCAATAGATATAGACAAGATAGTAGAATAATAATAATAATAACAACACTGATAAAAACACAACTAAACAACGCTCAACTATTTGCTAACCTTCTATCCTAATCTTCAACATTCATACCTTTCTACTTTAAAATTATGTTCTCGATAAACTACATCAATATCATATTAAACATGTGCGTCATATTAGCCTATTTCTCAATATTCATATCCTCTTGTCTAATTTTCGACCTACCTTTATCTCACTTCTCATACCTGCCTCATAACTAATCTCTCACACCTTATTTAAGGGTGTGTTTGGTATGAAGGAAAACATTTTCCAATTTTCTCATGTTTGGTTGGGTTAAATATTTTCCAAATCAACTCATTTTCCTCAAATTTAAGGAAAATGACTTCCCTTCAAAACTTGAAAACATTTTCCAAAACTCTTTTCCAACTTCCAATTAAAAAAAAAATGTTGAAAAAATCAATTTATTTGGTCCCTACCCTCAAACCAGCCCCCCCCCCAAAAAAAAATTAAAGTTTGTTTTTTAATTCAATATTTTTACCCCACCCTCACCCCTGCCCCCACCCCCTACCACCACCCCTCCCAAAAAAAATATTAAAAGTTGTTTTTAAAAGATATTTCTAATTTCAATTTTTTATTTTTTTACATCCCCACCTCCTACCCTCGCCCCCCCCCCCCCCCCCAGCCCCCTATCCCACCCTCTTCAAAAGGAAAAAAAATTTAAGTTTGTTTTAAAAAAACATTATTTCATTTTTTCACCCTTACACTCGGCCCCCATACCCTAGCCCCCACCCACCCCCTACCACCCCCCTCCACTCCCCAAAAAAAAATTTAAGTTTGTTTTTAAAAAATATTTTCGACTTCAAAATTTCATTTTTTCACCCCCTACCCTCGACCCCCCCGCCCTACCAGCCCCCCTACCCCAAAAAAAAATTTAAGTTTGTTTTTAAAAAATATTTTCGACTTCAAAATTTCATTTTTTCCACCCCTACCCTCGACCCCCCCACCCCCCAAAAAAAATTTAAGTTTGTTTTTAAAAAATATTTTTGACTTCAAAATTTCATTTTTTCACCCCCTACCCTCGACCCCCCCCCCCCCGCCCTACCAGCCCCCCTACCCCAAAAAAAAATTTAAGTTTGTTTTTAAAAAATATTTTCGACTTCAAAATTTCATTTTTTCCACCCCTACCCTCGACCCCCCCACCCCCCAAAAAAAAATTTAAGTTTGTTTTTAAAAAATATTTTTAACTTCAAAATTTCAATTTTTCACCCCTACCCTCGACCCCCCCACCCCCCACCCACCCACCCACCCCCTACCAGCCCCCCCCCCCAAAAAAAATTTAAGTTTGTTTTCAAAAAATATTTTTAACTTCAAAATTTCAATTTTTCACCCCTACCCTCGACCCTCCCACCCCCCACCCCCTACCAGCCCCCACCCAAAAAAAAAATTAAGTTTGTTTTTAAAAAATATTTTCAATTTCAACAATTATTTTCTACTCTAGTAAAAATAAAATAATTTTTTCAAAAACATTTTTCATTCATAAATCAAACACTAAAAATCTTTTTCGGAAAATATTTTCTACTCACCAACCAAACATGAGAAAATAAATCAAAAATCAACTTGTTTTCCAAGAAAACATTTTCTAGGAAAACATTTTCCTTCATACCAAACACACCCTAAATATCTGCATATCTTCTTTTTACGTGCCTAAACCAATAACTAGGGATGGCAATGAGGCAGTGCGGGATGGGGGTGGGGTGGGTTGAGCTTAACCCCGCAATTATTTTAATCCGCCCCGCATAAACCCGTCTCGCATAACTTTTTTAATATTTTCTTTTTTTAGTTAAGTTTGATACTAAAAATAAAATTGATAACAATAAATTCTTTTTTTCATTAAGTTGTATTAATTTAATAGGATAGTGACTTTAAAAATTATTTTTTAGGGGTCAATTGGAAAACATGCAAGAAATTGTATTATTTGTTATTGAATCATTTTCATATACTATCTCAAATATTTTAATAGATATATAGAAATTATCTTAATAAATAATGTTCTATCACTTATAAAAATCACATATATCCACAACCTGCCCCTCCCCGCATTAATTTTTAAAAAGCCCACTTCAACCCACCCTGTATCCACCCGCCGCATTGCCATCCCAACCAATAACCAACTACATCCTAGACATAAAGAGAATAAATATTACACTTAAAAATAACAATAATATATGTCCATAATTGACTAGATGATATAATAAATCATATATTGCTGAAAATAATCAACCAATATTTACTTAGTCAAAAGAAAAATCATCAAAAAACACCTCATTACTCAATCATTTCATTCATCTTTCTCAGCCATTTCCTCACACAAAATATATATACACACCATCTTTCTCCATATCCACCACCATTCATCTTCCTCCCCCCCAACCCCCAAACCCAAATCCCAAAATCTCAAATCTCCCAAAAACACACACAGAGATTGAATTTTTTGCTGAATTTTCAAGAATATTAAACAGAGCATAACGAAGAACAGCTAATATACCCCAAAATACACACACCCAGATCGATTTTTCAGCTGAACTTTCAAGTGAAATGATGAACAACACTTATTCACCCATAAGAGAAACTGCCCAAGAAGGAACAGAATCCTATTTTCACGAAGAACCCTCTTCAATTTGGTGCGCCTGTTTCAGATTCCCCTGTTTCCCATCAACCCAAAAAGAAGGAGAAGCAAATTCTCTGCTCCAAGAAAGAGAAAACAGAGATTCATGGATAGTGAAAAATATGAAGGAATTGAAAGAGTATTCTGAACTTGTAGCTGGACCCAAATGGAAGAATTTGGTAAGGAAGATCGGAAAATACTGTAATCCTAAGAAATCTTCAGCTAACACGACGCAGTTTCAGTATGATTCAGATAGTTATGCTCTCAATTTCGACAATGGCGGTGGTGATGTTAGGGATGATGATGATGGGCTTTTACGTAATTTCTCATCTCGATTTGCTGCTCCTTTTTCTGGTTTTGTTGCTAATAATAATCCCAATAAAAATGCTGGTTTGTGATAATTATTGGAGAAAAAAATAATCGTTATTTATGATTTATTGTATATTTAGGGGAGAAAATGGTGATGAAATTGATTTTATAAATTTAATTAATTTATTGTAGAAGTAAAATTCTCCTTCTTACCATTTTTATAGTTAAATAAATTTATGTTGTGAACTTGTGATTAGTTAACCATTCTTTATATATAGTTTTGGGTGTTTTGATCTTAAGATTATAAGCTAACACAATAACAATAATAACGTATTTAGTGTAATCTCATATATAAGGTATTTAGACTTTTTATAAAGTGATTGTTTTCAAAAATTTTAGACATCTCATGTGTTTTTTTAAAACTCATGAATAGATATATTGCAAATTTGTTATGAATTGCCTAGTTTTATAGTGATCATTGATGAACGAATGTTTATTTATCTAAATCCTTTTATTGTTATTTTGGAGATTTTTATATAAATAAATAATTTATCTAATTCACTCTTTATGTTTCTTATCTTATATAGTTAGTTGATTATATATGATTATACATATACATATATAATATATATGAATTATATGTAATGTTATAAGCCTATTGGCTATTTTTAATTTAAGTAATTGAATGTTGTTTTAAGTGAATTCTTTTTTATCTAACATCTCATATTTACTATTTTTTTTCCTTCTATTTTATTGAAAATAAGAAAACTAATGTGCACTAACAAGTCATAATGTGCAATAATTATTCTTGTATGGTGAAAATTATTGATTTTTATATTAAAGTTAAGTTCACTTCGTTATTCCTTTAGCAAAGGAAACGAATCTAGAAATATAGAATAAAACATTTCATGTTAAAGTAAGAAAACTATTTAGTAACTTATTGTAAAAGTAAAGTAAAAGAAAACTACACTTCATTCTATTGCCAAAATACAGAATAAAATAAAATATATTTATATTAATTAATTAATACTCCTTTTATTTAATTTATTATATTTGTTCTATTTTAGTTTGACACAAAATTTTAAAAATATATATTAAATTTTCAAAATGTTATTTAATCTCGTGATACTCCATATTAAAACAAAAGCAGGCCTAAGGCGGCTCAGAATAAACATGTGCCACCACCTTCATACAAACTTTAGTTATGATTGTACCACCCTTTATTCGGTATTCATTTTATGATCTAATTAATCTGTATTTATGTTGAAAATTTTCATTTTAAAAATAAAATGCTTTTTACTAAATAAAAATTTCATACAAAAAGAATTGAACCTAAATTTTTTAATTAAACATAAAAAATATTTATTATTTTATCACAATTATTGATGGTGCCGCCTTTATAGACCAAGCTATGTGCTTCCCACGATGTGAACGATTGTAGAAATTTCAATTCTTTGTATGTACACTGTACTAATGTTTCTTAAAATTATTGACCAGAATATTATTGTGGCCAACTTGTCTACGTTTTTAGAGATATTTGGAAGATTCATTTGTCCTAAAATAGTGAGTAACATGAATAACCAAGTAACGTTGTTTTTAATAGATTTTCGACTTTAGAATATAAGAAAAAGAAGCACTTTGCAAAAGAATATAACTAAAGTGAAAAAGTCATGATATAATATTATAGAACATGACAAAATATTTTGAGAAAGGAACGGTAACTACAATAAAAGAAAACGATTATCGAAGTACAAGAAACGACATATAGTAAAGACAAGAAACTATAAAAGTAATACTATGACTATTCGTAAGTAGAAATAGCAAAACAATTCTCAACTGCCTTTCAACCTTCTATCTCTTACCCTTTTTAAGTTCCAACCTAACAAAGAGAGTGAATTTAATTTGCTTTCTTTCAATCGTTCAGACCACCAAACTTGTACTATTAACTCTAATAAGAAAAATACTATATACAACTAAAATTATGTTGAAACCAATAAATCGATGCAAAAATTTCCTACATAATGGAAGTTACTAAAAATTGTAATTATTGAATAATTGTAGTAGTACTTAATAAGTAATATTGAGAAACTATATATCTTGTCTTGTAATACTATGTATATTATCTTGTAAATACTTAAGCTGCCATTTTTAGGTTCGAATTTAGGTTTAAAACATTTAAGAAAAAACTATATAATTAGATATACTTCACTGCCATATGTATTATTACTATCTATACTTTCAAAATATTACGTATCTTACCACTAATTAAGAGTTTTCTACGTATCTTACACTTAGATACATGTATTTTTGCTACCAGATACACAAAAATAAGGAGAGAGGCGAGCGAGATTGGAGAGGGAGGCAAGCAAGATTGGGGAGGGAAGCGAGTGAGATTGGAGAGGGAGGCAAGCAAGATTGGGGAGGGAAGCGAGCGAGATTCATATATATCCCATATGCATGCAAATTACACTACATACATGTATCAGTATGTATCAGGAGTGATTCACATGTATATGAGATACCATGGGAGAGTGGCGAGGGAAACAAGCGAGATTTGCTACATTTGATCCCATTTATCCGATATACATCTATCTAGACGTATCTGGAGATACCAAAATCTAGAAAAATACATAATATTGCAAATCATGAAATATATGTAAATTTCCTAACATTTAATTTTTTTTAAAAGGTGGGTTAGCCCAATTCGCGGCCCATTTAAGATTGGGCTAGTCAAATTTCAAAGCCTTGGGGATCAGACCGATCCCTATTGATAGCTCTGAAACTCTAATCTTAACATGAGTAAATTATGCTTAAATGATAGTTTTGTACATTTGTAGGATCAATCTTACAGTTAAACTAAAGTGAAAATTACACTTTATGCAATGAGATTAATATTTTTTAAAATACATGTGTAATCAATTGAAACTACTACATACATTAAATGAACCAAAATTTGATGAAATTAACGGTATTGTTCATTTACCTTGATATTTTGTAGTATAATGGTTAAGAGAGATATCAAACTCTTACCTATCAAATATAAATACTTTAGCGACAATTAATAAATGGTAAATTGGTAACAAGTATAATGGTTAAGAGAGATATCAAACTCTACCTATCAAATATACATACTTTAGCGACAATTAATAAATGGTAAATTGGTAACAACTTAATTGTCACTAAATATGTTTTTAGTAGCAACTAACACTCTTTATAAGTGTTCTTAAAACCTATAGCGATATTGCATCCGATGGCATTTGTCTAATGACAATAAAAGCTTTAGCACTCTTTGTTAATATACAAATTTATTGATGCTAAAATTATTTTTATTGTAGTGATATTTAAGTTTGACATAATGTTTGTGCACTTAATTTTTAGACTTATATCTAAATTTTGACTAAGATGTCTTATATTTCAAATTTATATGTCTACTAAAGTTCAAACAATCAAACCTAACTTTGAAACTCAAATGTCTAATTCATTCAATACCCTTTAAGAATACACTTTCTTAATATATTCATGCATTTTCAACTTGTCATTTTAATTAAATAATTAAAAAGTTTTGAATTGTTATAGTCTTCTAGATGTCATTCATTATGAAAGTGATGGAACCAATACCATCAATTAGATGGACGATACAAAGAGCTAGCTTAACATGGTCTTAAGGATGACACGTATAAATTAGGAAATAGTTTAAATAATTTAATTAAATCGATAAATGTAATAAAAATCTAAGATATTTTTCTGTCTCTCTCTTTCATGGACCCCTCTTTTTGTCTAACACTAATAAGTCTAGTCATCATACATAATTTGTCCATAAATTACGCATTCATTTTATAAAAATGAAGTAGCCGGCAAATAAGATGAAGAGATAAAATTATTTAAATATATTCAGAAAAAAAAAATGAATATAGCTCAAATTAACAAGTTGGAAACATAACTTGTTTATGTTTTCATTTTCACGATAAGAGCTTAATGAATTTTAGAAATATGCTTGATAATATTACTCATTGTGTAGGTGAAATATCCTCAATAACGCGCACCTCAAACTAATTCTATTATGCAGGTAGAATTATTTAACTTTCAAAACCATTTATCTTCACCCTAGTCCATTTTTTCATACGTATTTTCGATAATATTAGTGTTAGGTAGATAATAATTGTATTTCTTTTGTAACCTTTTTTCAACTAACAGGGAAAATTGTTCCAAATTAGTACCTAACCATGTCATTAAACAGTACATCATACTAAATAATATCTTTGTCGTGCTCTTCTACTAGCTACTAAATATAAACAATTGAAAGCTACTATGAGCTTATTAAAGTCAATAACAACCCACCAACTAATGTTTTAGCTAATTTGATGGTGAAATATGTTAATAATTAAAATGACGTATAAATAACATTATATTTATGAGTATGTTATCGCAATACCCATATTAGTTGACGTTAATCTTAAGCTTTTTAAAATGATTTAGAGAATAAGTAATATATATCAATAGAACTATAACTCAATCAACACAATTCAGTGGAACAAGTAATTATAATCTACAACTTCTATTCACAAAAATGAGTAACACTAGCATTCAAAATTACAACATAGCCACCAAAATACTTGATACAAAACAAAATTATATAAACTGAAACCTGTTGTGCTAAAATATTTGGCTTAAAACATAGAAAATTAACCTCATAAAAATAAGAAAGTGCTAGTATTACTTTCACAAGTATCTATACTCTCTTTTTCTTCTAAAGCATATCTTAGTCAACCAGGTCAGCTTGGGAACTTTCTGTGGTCAATTCCTTCACACAGCCAAAAACTCATTAATTCAATTTCCCAAATTCTAGCCATTCATGTTTTGGTTTTGTGATGAAGCTTTATACTTGCTAGAACACAAAAACTTCATATTCTTCTTCATCATGTCTTTTTTTACTGCTTGATTTCACCTGCACTACTTTTATCGAATATCGAGATTAGCATTAAAGAGTTTAATTTTTATACGCTAGTTTATATTATTAAGTCGCCTAAAAGATAGTTACATGGTTAAGACATCGATCAGGTTGCTTAAAAGATAGCTACAATGTGACCTTATA